AGAGAGAGAGAGAGAGAGAGAGAGAGAGAGAGAGAGAGAGAGAGAGAGAGAGAGAGAGAGAGAGAGAGAGAGAGAGAGAGAACGGTGTTTTCGTTATAAGTGAAATTGTTTTCATGTTAACTTTTCTTTTTAACTGTAAAATGGCGGAACGAAATGAGGAAATTATAGACGAAATAACGACAAAGCAAAATAACCACAAAGCAAAATAACAACAAATCGAAATAACGACAAAGCAAAATAAGGACGAAACAATGTTCATATGTCAAAGCTTAGCAATGCAAAGTTGAAGGAACGACAAAACAATGAGGAAACATTAATGTGACATTCATACTCCCGTGTTGTTTGTGCTCAAAATATAATACAATGTCAAGTTTTTACCTCGAATGTTTACACTCAATAAACATGTCAATCTCATCAATAAAATATTAACTACGGACTGTAGCTTTAGTCGCACCTCATTGAATTTCTTATCTAACCATGGACAAAATGTCAAATGTTATTCTAAGCCTCATATAAGAAATATTGGCTTGTGAGAAAGCAAATGGAGGGAAGTGACCTCTTGCAAGCAAAGATGCAAAACCTAACATAAAAACACCACAAATAGAAGGATCCTCTTGAGCAGGAATCCCATCTACTGATGTATCAAAGGAGGATGTAGGCCCGTCCACATGATATCTTTCGCGAAGATTGTGTCGATGTAACTCCGCTTCGAAAAAATCTTGCAAACGTTCAAGGACTGAAACATAGTCAGCACGAGGGAGAGAGTCTATGAGGTGCAATTTACAGTTCGGACCGTATATTCTGACATAAGCTAACCACCCAGTGATTTCCAAAATGAAGAGGGATAATCACTAAGTCATAATAAAAAAGATTTGTATCCTTCACCCATTTCATCTCTTCGGAATATGCGGTTTCAAACCTCGAAGGACCTGACAATCGAGTGAAGAAAAAAGAATTGAAAATGCACACAAAAGGAACACCATCTCTTGTCACTTCTGTACATGCCGAATCAACCTTGATGTGATCATTGGTGATCTTGACAGCTAGCAGGTACAAATTGACGACCTCGTCATTTAGCCATTTCCCATCCTCGACGACGACCATGATGTCTTCCTTTCCCACCTTCTAGCTCCCCTTGTAATCGACAATGCCGTATGCTTCATTGTCTTCGCCGCTGCTTGTAATCATGTCAAGATACCCCTTTTCTTCTACGGTGAGGCGTTTTGTTGCTAAAGAATCTGGAACGAAGGATCATGAACTGCATACAAACACACATATAAATAACAATGGAACGACTAAGACTTCAGACAAAAACAAACTGTTCGTTATGTGATGTACGACGTGGACCCGAGTTCATGTTTTTGGTTGTCTATCTGTTTCGCTATCAGAGCTGTCATCCACAATAGATAAACTTCAACCTTCGCGATGCAATCTCTTCCCTTCTCTGAGGCTTATTCCAACAACTTTAAACATCCTTAGGGCAGCTGGCTTCATAGATGGAAATGTCATGGGTGTAAGTCTTCTTCTCTCTTTTTTGGACAATAACGGCAAAGTCGATAAGGCTTGCAAGCCACGACGAATAATATTCTTCTCACTCTGCCTTTGCGAACGTACGTGCGTCGTTTTCCACAGTTCTTTTCGTCGCCCTGCACGTTCAGCAATATAAAACGACAATGATTGACAAGACAAAACATTATGAGTTTAAGTTCAATTTTTCACATAATTGCAAATAAGAGATACACAATATTCTACTTCATTTCTTCTCATGACCGAGCACACGGTTGCAAACGTAGGCAAAAAATTAGTTCCTATGAGATAAGTGCATGTACCCCCAAATCCGAATACATTATTAGATATTCCCTTAGAGATAAGTACGTGCTCACCTCGGTGGCTCACTAACGCTTTGTCTTCAACACGACCTTCTATCGCACCATGCGATGGTGTAAAAGGAGATTTGTCGATAGATATCACGAGGTTAGCAGATTGTTGTGCTTCTAATTTTGCAACCATAAGTTCAGGCTGTACAAGCGTATGTTGCTCCCGTGTACTTAGTACTATATGTCCTTCATCCTTTTCAATGACCTGTACATTGGCAGTTTTCTTTGCACCTGCAGTCGCGCTTTCATTCTTCATGTCCAGAGAGACTTCATGCTCATCTTTCTCAACTGGCATATCCAATGACATCTCTAATTCTGCAAGTGCACCAGTATTATCCACTTGCGCATTAACACTCTCGCTCGCCAACACAGTGGTCACCCAAACTTGGTCATCCGGAAGGACGTCCTCCACACATTTCGGCAGTTCTCCATGACTTACACCCTTGACGCTTGCACCGCCGCTTCCTCCCAAATTCTGGCCACTTACATCGCCTCTCGATCCCCTGCCATGTGCACCACCGCTTGGTCCTAATCTCAGAGGCGAACCCGATCCCCTGCAATGTGCACCGCTGCTTGGTCATAATCCCAGAGGCGAACCCGATCCCTTGTCATGTGCACGGCGGCTTGGTCCTGATACCTTTCCCTCTGTTGCTTGACGCCCTTGACACATTTCGTGTTTTTGCTGTTCAACATGACTTATTGGCTTTCCACTTGCACCGACGCTCGGTCCCAAGCCTTTGCCACTGGCACCGCCCCGTGGTTCCGATCCCTTGCCATGTTCACCACCACTTGATCTTGTTCCCTTGCCAAGCGCACCGCCGCCTGATCCTGATCCTTTGCCACTCTCATCGCCGCTCGCTCCTTTCCTTTCCCCAACTTTGTCTTCAAGTTCCTCTTCGATACGCCAATTATATCCAAAAGCTGGACTTGTTTCTCGATCATAGAACTCTTTCAGATACTCAAGCCATCGAGATGTTTTGAACTCCTGAAAAAATTCTTCTGTCCTTGCATCCAGTCTTGGTTGAGAAACCTTCGGATTAAGTCGCAGTAGTTGCTTGACAATCTCATTTTTGGCGTGTGTGACAAACTTGGATCGTGACATACGTCTGTGGAGGCAAAATTGCCACTCCCCTTCTTCTTTTATAGCCATTACCCAGTTCCCTCTCGCCAATGCAGGTTGGAAGTGGTGGGGGTGCCATATAATGTGATGACCCCATACGTTGTCACGCATCACCGTATAATCGTCTCGGCACACAATACGTCCAGGAAGCCGTGCATTGTCCGAAGGGATGATGTCTTCAATGTCGTACTCCAAAGGCTCAAACGGAGGTTGTTGAGGAGTTTGAGAGCGTAGCAATTCCAAAATAGTAGCCGGGCTATGTGCAAGTGCTGACAGACTTGCCATAACCTCTGGGAGAGCATTGCCTGCACCCTCGGATCATCCCGAAATGCGCCGGAAGATAGCGCTGTTGTGTTGCCCGCCATGTAAATGGTCCGTTGAAACTGGTCCGTTGTAACTGCCATACTCGAAGCCCCCCCAAAACCGGACCATGTGCCCGACGCACCCATCTTCTGCGAAGCCAAGCTACAAACTTTTTGCCTCTCATCTGCCAAAGCCGCTTGCAAAGTACCATCTTTACTTTCTTCCTCTGAGTCCTCAGCATCGAAGCCTTCCCAAAAACAAGTTGCATAAGCTGCGATTGTAAACGCCCTGATGTGTTCGTCGAAGTATATCATCTCCAAACGGTCTAGAAATGCAACTTCCGTCTCCGCCGGTGCCTTATGATACCCCCTCAGAAGTGATTCAATTTTTCATCTTCTGACGACATATGCACGTTCCCCTCTGTTTTGTGGCTTAGTCTCGAAAAGGAACTCCCAAATGTTGACGATGTTTTGGCCGACTTTGTAGACGAGATCACGCTTTTCATCATGTCGAGGAGGCGGCTTAACAAAGTTGGCGAAGTAAAGTCCACTCTTGACCATCTTGGTGACGAATTGAACGAGAAACTCGAATTTCATACCCTCCCCTTCCAGAACAATGCAATGACGGTGATTCTTTAACAACTCCCAAATCAACGCCGCATGACTTTTTCCCAGGAAAATAACCGCCTCGTCCGCAAGACAAAAATGCTCCAATGTCTCCACCATCGCATTTGGCTCCTTTTCCATACCTTCGTATGCAAATTTCTCCCTTGGCTCCATTCCTGCCATTTTCAACTTCGTAGGCGTGAAGTTCTTCTCCACGACATTAGCTAACATCTTTGGCCTTCTCTCTCTGCGCACAAGTGCTGATAAGTCACCCGCCTGCTCGCCAGATGATCGCTCTGCAGTTGGAGTGCTTGCTGGAATGTCTTCAAGCAAGGGAATAGTGTTGCGGTGATAATCCCCATCGTTGGAGTACATGATGACAGCCATTCTGTCTGTGTCCTCCAACCGCAAGTTCGCAACCTTATATAAATGCTTCGCCTTCGTTTGTTGCTGACGAGTCCACTTTAGAATAGACAAGTGAATGTCAATCTCCCAATTTGTAACTCGCTTGAAATATGTATACTCGCAAGATCGCGGAACGAAGCACAATAATGTCTAATAATCACCAGTCAGTTTTCCCATAAACTTCCGCAGACCATTAAAGACTTCTTCAGTCCACACCCCTATCTGGGTTGGGTGACACAAATCCAGCACGACAGTGTGGCAACTCAGATGTTTGACGACTCTATATATTTCCTTGGAATCCATCTCGTCCGAAATATCACTTGGTTTCTATTGGAATGAGACGAAAACAGAGTTCACGTTCTGTCTTTTGAAATGTATATATTGCGCCGAGCCCGACATTGTTATGCTTTCCGAACCTCTGGTTTCTGATCTATGCAGCAGCTTGTTGACAAACTGCACGAACTCTTCGGGGCACTTCGCAGCAAGTGACGCTGTTTTCTTGAAGCCCTCTTCTCCTTTTTCCTCCTCTCCTCGAAGTGTAGCCGGGGACGTTCGCACCCAATTCATGTCTTTGAAAAGGCGACGCTGGTCGATCCACCTCTCGGACGTCAATCCTTCATCAGAGTACTTATCAAACAAATCGGAAAGGTTGTTGAAGAATGATTCCGTCCACTCTGACGACTTCCTGTGAGGGTCAGAAATGAAGACAAAGTAGTGAAACATCCTCAACATTGCTCTTTCAATCTTCACCATTTCCACATATGTTTCCGTAGAATGTTTCCCAGCACGTTGAGCAGCTTCGCTTTGCTTAGGAGTCAGTATTACACTGCCTGTGAGAATGTATCGCAACAGTTGCAGCCGCTCATGCCTCCCAAGCGCTGAAAAAGGCTTGCACGCTCTGCTATTCGGATCGTGCACAGCCACGAGGTAACCAGGTCCTTTGGTACCCTGAACCCAGTGAACCGGATACCTAACTCCACCTCTCAACCCAAATCCGGGTCCAGCCCTCGGTGCCTTCCCTGATTCACCTTGTTTGGTAGCAGGCTTCACAGCATCTCTCCCCGACAATTGTCCAGCTTCCCAAGCGGCGTATACTTGTTTCACCTTTTCGAAAACGTCATCTGTCACCCTTGCCAACAACATGTAGGGCCCGAGGGCGTCAGACCATTGGCCGCTCCATTGAGTAGTAAGGGACATATCAACCAAATTACGAATCCTGGTCAAACGAAGAGCCTCTCCTGCAAACTTTTTATAATCTGCATTTTTCACTTCTGCCGCTGAGCCGCCTTTAGCTTCAGAACCGTTCGACTCGTGCCACAACTTCCGTATGTTCAGGATGACCACGATCTGGTGCGGTGGGGTATTCAATTTGTCCTTGGCGTTCTGGAAAGTGCTCAGCGTGCCGTAATTGTCCATGCTCTTATCCGGATAATAAACAGGCCTCGCTGTCCAGCGATTCAATCGGAGCTCGTGTGTGATGTCAGGGCGTTCAACAAAACACCTTCTTGCCGCCACCACGTTATGCTGACCGCTGAGAGGGTAGTAGTAGTACTTGTTCACAAATTCGAGGTCGAATTCATCGGGCATCACCCTCCTTGCTCTCACAATCCTCCCTGAAGCGTCAGTATGCAATGTATCACGGAGGGCAACCAACAAAAGGACAGGCTTCTCATACAATGTACAAACATTCACACCGGCAGCTCCAGTCGTTCTCTCTCCGATAGCAGCCTCACCCGATGCAACCATTGCGTCATAAATGTCATTAATCGTCTGTTGCACAAGATAGCGTTGATTGTATCTGAATTCCCCGTCGGGGATATCCAGAATTCTGTCGAACTGGACAGAAATGAATTCCATGTCTGGACATTGGTTCCCACGCTCGTCCAACTCAAGGAAGAAGCCTTTGCTGAGAACACCAGAATAAGTCACCAATGACACATTTCGCAAACTTGGCGGCCTAGTAACTGTCTTGCCTTTGGCCGCTTCACCCGATTGTGGTTGTTCCGCTGGATAAACGGAAGTCTTTTCCATGACACAACCTTTTGCCTTTCTTTTCTTTGGCTGCTGCTTTATCTTCGTGGTCGCCTAAGTCTCCCGTGTTCGCTGGACCGCCTCATCCACGGGTAATATTTTCAATTGTCTTTTTTCACCCGCTTTTTGCCTACTCCGTTTACTATCCATAAGACTTCTCTGCTCCTGCCTGTGCTTCCTCTTTCGCTCAGCGAGCCCTGCAGCATCCGTATGCCCAGCCACAGCCACTGTCGCGTGGTGCACCCCCCCTCGTGTCGGATGCGCATCCCCCTCACATCCCCCTCACATCCTTCGTAGCTGCTCCCATATCCTCCTGCCAGACCAACCTCCCCACCCAATTCGCTCATAGTGTGCTCACTGTCTTCATCCTGTCCAACCACTTTACTTGTCTCTCTTGGATGCCTCGTCATGCCGTCGACACCCGCAGCATACTGTTCCGGTCCTCCTCCTCGTTCCGAATATTCCTCGCTGTTCTCTTCATCCTCATCTTCAAAATACTCATGGTCTTTCTCTGCGCGGCCTGGCACAACGTAGTCATAGCGCTGCTGGCCCACCAAGGGGAGAGGCCCCTTGGTGGCCGCAACATAGCGGGGTCGGCTGCCCAAGGCAATTGGTGCTTTGGTTGGCTTGGTCTTCATAGGGGCTGACGGTACGACCAGTCCGCGACACAGACCCTTCTCTCCAATCTGCCTAGCTCTCGGACCAGGCGACGTATCGCGGATTGACGGTACGACCAGTCCGCGACACGGACCCTTCTCTCCAATCTGCCCAACTTTCGGACCAGGCGGCGTATCGCGGATCTTGACCGAAGACCCTGTCTCCACGGTTTTCGAAAGCACGCATTTAGGCTTCGATATGCGGTTTTCTGGATGCACAACCGACCCTTCACCCGCGATCACATTACTGTTGAAAAACCCAAGGACGTCAACGAGGTCAGGCAACGTCACCTCCGCTGTCCTTGGTGGGTTGAACACATCAACCAGCGACTTTCCAAGCCCCGCGTATTTGGCCCATCGAAGAGCAACGTGTTTAACGCTCGGTATTCTTTCCCCTCTTCCATTCAGGACCATCGTCAACTCGAACGTTGCAGACGGCATATTTTGTCCAGTCCACCTCACCAGGCCGCCAACCGGCACAATATTTTCTTTGATAACCACATATAGAACAAGGCCACTCGATGGTTGTCCGATCTCCCCCACCCAGTCCAGCATCCAGAACTTGTCTGTGTGGTCAACCACGTGCACATCGTCTCGTCAACCCGCGGCAGTCGTTTCACCAGACGGTTTACGTTCGCCAGACGGTTTACGTTCACCAGACGGTTTACGTCCGGGCACAACCTCCACTGCAGATCTTCCCTGCTGCGGACCAGGCACACGTTCCTGTACCGCAGGCCCGCTAGTCATCAACACAGACTTATCTGGTCCAGAGCCCCGAACACGAGTCGACGGAGTGCCCGTGGAAGGTGCAACGCTGCCGAATCTGAAAGCAACACAGCACATCCACGCAAAGCCAAACTTCAGAAGGTTGCTCGACGTTGGCATGACACGAGGAGTAGAAAAGTTTCAGATAGTGACAAGGCAACGCAGCTCCTTCGTGACAAGGCAGCCCCGAAGACGCAGTAGGAATCGAGCGCGATCGTGTTCAATTCGATCGCGATAGTGCCCGCGGTCAACACGATCTTGTTCGGCGAGAGGGTAACAGGCCAGCTCGATCATGTTCGACTCGATCGCGGTTGCTGCGCTCGCATGAACTCGACCGTAAGTCCAGGTGATCGTGTGCGTGTCGACCGTATTCAACACGGTCGTGTTCGACTCGAAAGTGAGTCCAGGCGATCGTGTTCGACTCGATCGTGAGTCCAGGCGATTGTGTTCGACTCGATCGTGAGTCCAGGCGTTCGTGTTCGACTCGATTGTGTTCGACTCGATCGTGAGTCCAGGCGATCCTGTTCGATTCGATCGTGAGTCCATTCGATCGAGATCGTGAGTCCATTCGATCGTGTTTGACTCGATCGTGCTAGACTCGATCGCGAGTCCAGGCGATCGTGTTCGACTCAATCGTGAGTCCAGGCGATCGTGTGCGACTCGATTGTATTCGAATCGATCGTGTTCGACTGGAGCCTGACGGGCCAGCTGGACCGTGGTGAGCCAGCGCGACCCAGAAGATCGCGACTCGATCGAGTTCGACTCGATCGTGGTCGACTCGATCGAGGCCGACTCGATCGAGGTTGACTCGATCGAGTTCGACTCCAACGTGGCGGGCCAGCGCGACAGTTCGACTCGATCGGGCTGGACTCGTTCGTTGGGGCCATCTTGACAGAGAACGGGAGCGGCGCATCCAATAGCAGGCAAACAGAACACGGGAGCGGCGTACCCGAAAGTCACATCAAACAAGGCAGATGAATCGAAAGTTGGCATCGACAATCTCACATCAAACCCATTGCCTCCATAACACACACAGTCTCAGTTCACACTCTTGCTGAATAGCCCAAATTTCTCACACTGTTCATCTTCCACGCACACATAGTTTCAGTTCACACTTTTGCTGAATAGGGAGCGGCGTTACCAACAAGGCACATCAATCAAGGCACATCAATTGAAAGCCCACATCCATTATCAATTCAAAGCATTCAACTGGCAAGGCATGCAACGGGTACCGGCAACGAGCGATTAACAGTACGCACCACCAATTACTAATCTCACACACACACACACACACACACACACACACACACACACACACACACACACACACACACACACACACACACACACACACACACACACACACATACACAGAAAGATAGATAGATAGATAGATAGATAGATAGATAGATAGATAGATAGATAGATAGATAGATAGATAGATAGATAGATAGATAGATAGATAGATAGATAGATAGATAGATAGATAGATAGATAGATAGAGAGAGAGAGAGATAGAGAGATTTAACCGGCATCGACAAGCTCACATCAAACTCACTACTCCCACGCATACATAGTCTAAGTTGTCACTTTTGTTGAACAACTGAATAGTTGACATGTCCTACACTGTTCATCTCCCATGACCTCCCCCACGACCTCGCCTATCCTTTCGCCCCGAAACCGTACAGTGCGTTCAGGGATGAACCGTACGTTAGGAGTTGTGGACTACACAGGGTAGCAGTGGTGGAGAAGTGAGACATGTATCGCGCACGGACGAAACCACATATTCTGGCTAAAGTGCGACCGATGGTATCTCGAATGACCGTCACGTACTCCTCGACCTCCTCCCACTGTCGGGGTGCGTCAACCTGCCCCGCCAGTTTCACATCAAACTTAGAGTACCTATAACCATGCGGTAACATAATCGAGTCCCCGTCAACGATGAGCTCGTTCGTGGACACGTAAATACTTGCCTCCGCTGACGTCTTACTTCTATTTCTCACCGATACGCACAGAACCCTAGCGAAAGAGAAACGACAGAGTTCAACATGAACGCAGAAGTACGACACACTCCCCGTCAAGTTGTCATCGAAGGGAAGGGGATATTTCTCTAGAAACTGGTTCTGCTTCGCACAATCCAGCAACTCCTCCTTCATCGATGGTCCCCACAAGCACGGCGAACACGACACGTTGTGCGCAGTCAACGACAAAGACAAGTCTCGGGTACGAAATGCCGCAGACAACATCGGCATGTGTTTCGTCACGAGGATGTGGTCGAGGAAGATGAATGTCCCTCATTCCTGGCTGGAAGCTAGTCGATAATCAGATGCCCAAGGGCAGTCTTTCATGGTGTTCTCCCAGTCTAATTCGGACCATGCATCGAAGGGCCTTTCAAGCCAAGGCATAACGCTCATCCAAGGGTTCGTGTCGAAGTCTTCTCTACGGGCCCCAAGTATAGTAGTCTCCCGCCTTGAACCTCGTATGTACCTCGTGCTAGCACTCAAAGGGAACGAGTAATCGAAGCGGTGAGCCATCGCAAATGTCCTACACACACAAACGATTGACGACCACAACAAGGAGTCATTGCTAAAGTCGAACTTGCTCACACACCGAGGAGCCATCGCAGTTACACACAACAACCAGGCATTGCGAATGTCCAATACAGAAGGAGAAGACACACAGGGAGACAAATTCCGTCGGCGGCTATCCATCGTCGCGTTCGTCGAGACAAGGTCGATGACGGACAATCGACAAAGCTCAGACGGCCATCGGCGAGTTCGACTCGACAGTGGCCATAGCCCTTGGCGCTTGCCGACCGTCGAGTTCGACTCGAAGACGGTCGTCCGTCCCGACTCTACGGCGGCCTACGTTCCACTGTAGTGTTCGACTCGGGGACGCCCTACTGGCCGTCTGTCGAGTCCATCTTGACGAAGGCCAGCTGGACACTGTCGTGACGAAGGCGACAGCCAGCCAGCACCAAGGCCTCTGGCCATTGTCGAGTCGTACTCAACAATGGCCTGCCCGCCGTCTCGAACTCGACGGTCGGCAAGTAGGGCGTCGCCGAGTCGAAGTCGACAGTGGCCAGTACTGCGTCGTCGAGTCGAACATGACGACCATCAAGCGCCAAAGCCTCTGGCCGTTGTCGAGTCCGACTCGACGATGACCCCGAGCCGTTGTCGAGTCCGATGCGACGATGACCCCGAGCCGTTGTCGAGTCCGACCCGACGATGACCCCAGGCCGTCGCGTCGAACTCGACGGTGGACCAGCGCCAAGTCGTATGGCTATTGTCGAGGTGAACTCGACAACGGCTCGGGGTCATCGTCGAGTCGGACTGGACAACGGCCTGGGGTCATTGTCGAGTCCACGTCGACGATGACCATGGGCCGTGGTCGAGTCCAACTCGACAATGACCCCATGCCGTTGTCGAGTCCGACTCGACGATGACCCCGGGCCGTTGTCGAGTTCGACTCGACACTGGCCATATGACTTGGCGCTGTTCCACCGTCGAGTTCGACTTGACGGCCCGAGGTCATCATCGGGTCGGACTCGACAATGTCCAGACGAAATCGACAACGACCTGGGGTCATTGTCGAGTCGGACTCGACAATGGCCGGAGGCTTTGGCGCTTGCCGGCCATCGTGATCGACTCGACGACACCGTACGGGCCATTGTCGACTTCGACTCGACGACGCCCTACTGGACGACCGTCGAGTCCGACTCGACGATGGAGGGCTGGCCATTGTCGAGTCCGACTCGACGATGACCCCGGGCCGTTGTTGAGTCCGACTCGACGATGAGCCCGGGCCGTTGTCGAGTCCGACTGGACGATGACCCCGTGCCATTGTCGAGTCCGACTCGACGATGACCCCGGGCCATTGTCGAGTTCGACTCGACAATGCCCCGTCGAGTTCGACTCGACGGCGGCCTCTGCATGGGCGGAGATACCACGTGGCAGCACTTGGTTGCTTCACGGCGGTTTACCGTTCTCCTAGGACTCCAGTACTGCCTTCGATGCGGATGCTCGGAACTTCGCTCCGATGCTGCGCGAACCTCCGATATGTGAGCCGGATGTCCGTTGCGTTCTGTGCGAGCCTCTGATGTGCGAGTCAGCGCTCCGCGAACCTCCGCAACGCTCCGTTGTTCTCGACGAACTTGCAGAAATGGGAAATGGTGGGCCCACACCACTATTTATACTTTCTGTCGAGGGCCTGCGAGGGAATGTGGATGTGTGGGTTCGGGACCCAGTGCCGCGGGGGGTCAGTGCCGCGGGAGCGACGTTTCGAATCCCGGGACAGTCGGGGCCGTCGATCCGTCGGCTGAGGGCCAGGATCGGGTGCGGGGAAAACCAGTGCCGCGGTGAGAATCGGTGCCCAGCGGGCGATGGTTCGAATCCCGGGAAAGTCTGGGCCGTCGATCCGTCGGCGGAGGGCCAGGATCGGGTAAGGGGAGAACTGGTGCCGCAGTGAGAGTCGGTGCCAAGGGGGGTGACGATTCGAATGCCGGTGCCGTCCGCGACTGTTTAAACGGGCTCCGCAGGAGGATCCAAGGTTTTTTTCCCTTGCGTCGCTCCCCCAGACAAAAGGCCGGTGCAGTGTCACCTTCGCGTCGACGCGACAGACAGCTGCGTTGCTGCTCCGATTCATTCCTTTTTTGACCCAG